TTCCTCCACCCTACAAGCAACCTTATGCCCTCTCCTGTTCCCCTGCTCCTCTGCCCTACAGGCCTTCCCAGCCATGTTCCCTTGCTCTTTAGAATTCAAAGAGTCACAGAAAATCCCAAGTTTCACAAAAGTTCTCAGTGGAAGAACAATGGCGGAAAACTCATGGAGGCTTGATTAATTACTATTGTATAACCATAACTGTTGTAATTTAAGATGTATCCATTAATCAATTATTGTTATATAATCATAACCATTGTGATATGAGACATATCCATTGACAACCAAGCTGTAACTCTGCCAATGACAACATTCATTATCATCATCTCCCGCTCACTTAAGCTATGCAGAGAAAAAAAGGTATAAAAAACAAAAAACCCTGCACTTCAGGGCTGATTGTCTCAGAACAACAGCCCCTGCACAGGTGAGAATAAATTACCAATTAATAGAATCTGAGTGGGTCCAAGTTTATTTTTTCATAACTCCAAGGTTATTTTACCTATTTTTCCTTTAATAATGTAAAAAAGACAGTATTGACATACTTAAATTCCCAGGACCTTTAGTTCTTTAGAGATGGACTAAATGGCTGGTGTCATAATTTCCAAAAGTGTATTGAACTCGATAATGTTTATATTGAGAAATAGTGCTTACATTTTTATTTTTATCTGTTTATTCCATTTTTTCACAAAGTTTTTTGTGGGGTTTTTTTGTTTTGATTCTTTAAAAGTTTTTTATACAGGGTCTTACTCTGTTGCCTTGGCCAGAGAACTTCCCACCTGACCTCAAGCAATCCTCATACTTCAGTCTCCCAAGAAATTAGGCATATGGGTATATGCCACTATGCCCAGCTAGTTTGGTTTTTTTGTTTTTCATTTTTTAATTTTTTAAAAGACCAAGTCTTACTATGTTTCCCAGGTTGATATTGAATACCTGACCTCAAGCAATCTGCCATCAGCCTCCAAAAGTGCTGGGAGTGCAGGTGTGAACCACCTGTTAGACAATGATGTTCCCTTGTATATGAGGGACTTCTGTTTCATGTGTTAAAATGTAACCATGTATACATATTTCTCTCTTCTTTCCTTAGTATGTCTGTGTCTGGATTTGGGTGTGTGTCTACGTTTGCGTGTATTTAACCACTGAGGGGGAAAGGAAGGACATCCTTGGACAGACTGGCTAATGCAAATTTTCTCTCATGTTATTATTCCCACCTTCCCTTTTGTTTTCCCTGCATGTATGCACATACACATCCATACATAAACATACATACCACATACATATACATACATAATTATACTTTAATAACCATTGGGAAAACACAGACAATATACATGCCAAACTGTCAAGAGTCCATTCCCCTAGAGAGTTAGATAACACTGAGAGATGAGTGAATTTTATTTATTGTATTTTCTTTCTTTTTCTTTTTCTTTTTTTTTTTATTTTAGACAGAGTCCAGGCCAGGTTTGAACCTTCCACTCTAGGTGTATGTGGCCAGTGGGTGCCCTGCCAACTGAGCTATGGGTGCCACCTACTTATTGTATTTTCAACATTTTAAAAATCTCAGGAAAATTTCTGATTCAATTTGTAGGAAAGCAAAATATAACATGGTTAGTGTGCTTTCCATTTGGTATACACTGCAAATAGGATGTAGTTTATAGTGTACACTGAATTACAAAACACTGAACATTCCATCATGCAAATTTGAACCAGATCTTGAAGGATAGCAAAAATTAGAAGAGGCAAGGCTCACAGATAACATTCCTTCCGTTAAGAAAAGGGTAAGTCATGGTTGATACATAGGTCAGGAAACAGGTTTGTTCAGATGCAGGTGGACAGTCTTGCACTGAAGTCTGGTAGCCTGCACTTCAGACAGGAATGAAACAGAGCTCATAGAAGGGGGGTATAGAGCTTAACCCATTGGAAATTGGGGTGACGTCAATGTCCTTTGGATCAACCAGAGGTTTCAAGGTAAAATTCTGTAAAATGCTGGTCAGGATTAAAAACAGCTCCATGCGGGCCAGACTCTCTCCAGCACAAATTCTTTTTCCTAAAAATAACACATGAATTAATTATTCATTTAATACTATTTTTGCTTTAGCACAAAAGGAAGCTTAAATAAATGTGGAATGAAGAAATATAATAAGGGGAGGTGCCTGTGGCTCAAAGGAGTAAGATGCTGGCCCCATATGCCAGAGGTGGCAGGTTCAAACCCAGCCCCGGCCAAAAACTGCAAAAACAAAAAAAAAAAGAAAGAAATATAAGGAATGACTAATTAAGCTACAGCTTCTCCTATTAACACCCTAACCAGGATTCCTTCATTTCCTTAGCACATATTTCTGTGTGCATACTATATTAAAAAATCTTTTCTATACATACTAGAAATGCTTTGCTGAGGCTTGCCATTGACAACTTTCTGTACACACACACACACTCAGACTTACACACACATACTCATGTACCCAACTAGCATGGTATACAACACTATATCTACTTTTCCACCTACTTCTCACTTAGACTCAATGATAGACTTACTTCTCCTTACATGCATTCTAAATGATAATATTAATCTTGTCACACACCTGCTTTAAAAACTTTCAAGTGCTTAACATGGCCAGGTATAAAAAAGAATTGCCAATGAACTTATCATAAGCAACTCTTAAGCCTCAGTTCTCACAATTCCTTCCACCCAGTTCCCCATATCCCAGTCATTACCAACTGGTCACCACTCCCCCCAAAAATTGGCATTTTGAGTTTTATCTCTGACTCCAGATAGTCTTATACCTGGAGTGATCTCCCCCTCTACTCTGCCTGCCAATAGTCTGAATATTCTTCCACATTCAGTTCAGAATTTACTTCTATGCCACCTCTTTGAGGTGGTCATGGTATGCAATTCACTCTTATGCCACAAGAGACTCCAAAATACAGAAAAAAGAAAAGTAAAAGAGCAGAGGAGCAGTGGCTCATGCTGGGGTTATCCCAAGGCATGGGACATAATCCTGGGACCACAATACCAAGGATTGCTCCATATTGATTTTCTTAAATAATAAAGAGCAAACCTTATATTTCTATCTCTGCTTCAGGTGATTCTGTAGGAAATATGCTTTCTCCTCTAATCTTTCTCTTGCTTCTTTCTTCCTTAGAATATGCTGAAAATACTCCATTTCTTCCTCTTTCCAGATACATTCCATATTTACTTCTATTTTATGTCAATGTGTTCCCAAGAAACTGACTTATATGGACTACATTAAAACAGAAATTAGTTCCATTCTAGGTTCTGGGTAAATTCAGAGGATTATAGGTTGAGACTAGCAAAGTATCTATTCTCTCAGCTCCCCCCCCCCCCATTACTCAGCAGAGCTGTGTTCCTCTTTCTGTGGATGCTTCTCCTGCATCTGCTTTCTCCTGGATAAAGGTCTGTTAACAATCCAATGACACCCTCCTACCCTTGTCTGCTCTGATGTAGGATGGTAATATCTTCCCATTGATGTTAGTCCTGAGACTCTACCCCATTTTGTTACTTCCCTTAACCCATCCACACCTCCAAGAACATTCTCTTCATTAAAGTCATTTCGATTAACCTTTTTGAGTGTGAGACTTCTTTGTTTCCAGGATCTTAAAAATCAAGGGAAGATATTCATCTATCTCTTCCTGAAAGAAAATTTCCCTTACCTTCCAACTTCTCTGGCCCCTCCCCACCCCCCAAAAAGTCCAGAATCAGGAGTTCCTAACTCTGGGCTCACACAGAAGCCCTGAGCACAGCATTTGCTACACAGCAGTCTCATTTGTCTTCCTCTCTCTTACAAGGAAAAACTGTTTCTTGTTCACACTTGAGTCCCTGGACCTCACTTGGCATTGCCATGTGTAAAGCACTCAAGGAGGTTTATGGAGTGTACTGGGCTCTCAGGGTAAATAACAAAGGCCTCACTAGATCTACACTTCTAGGAGGAGCTCCTAGGCATCCCAGTGGGGGTCGGGAAGCAGAATCTGTGAGTGTAGCCACCAATCCAATGAAAACAACCAGGACTTCGGAAGTGGTGCCTCTGCCCTCATACAAGTGTCAGTGTGTCCATGCCAGGAGAGCCTCCAGGAAAAGACCTTTCTTGTCTCATTTATCCTCTCATGTGCAAATAAAAAGAAAGCTTACTCACCTGCTGAAAAAGGCATGAAGTAGTCACTCTTCTTAAAGTTGCCACTTTCATCCAGAAAGTGGCCAGGGTCAAACCGCTCTGGGTTGGGAAACTCTTTCTCATCATGCAGGACAGAAGACAGATGTATTAATATGTTTGTGCCCTGATTAAAAAAAAAAATAGATGAACCAGATTATTAAGGTGGTCATTGAGCTTGAAAAAACATTGGAAAGCCTATATCAAATGCTTTTGTTTCATTCAAGGAGATTGAGGCACAAAAAGGACAATCTATTTCCTTGGTGTCATGAAAAAATTAATGACCAAGCCCAGTGGGTATTAAATCATATAACACCCAGTTCAGGGCACTGTTTACTGATTGCAAGGCCATCCTCAATGGTTTGGAGTCCGACACCAGGATGTACTTTGCAGAAAAGCAAGAAAGCTCCCAGGAGCACATTGCTCTGGACAAATAAGTTACAGTTTTGTCCAACATTTCTAATGTCACTGAAAATCCAGCTCATTCCCCATAGGACCAAATGTAAGTCTTTCCTAAAAACTCAGTAGCTAAGTGGTCTTTCTCTAGAAAACCTTCAATTTCCCATAAAGATAAGAAACTGATAAGTATCCCCTCTTGTTATGTTCCTTTGATTGAATGTTCATATATTCTTATGGAAAAGAAAGAGTTCTTCAATGTCTAGTAGGTTTTTCTGAAAATCAGAGATAAGATGTGATCATAGCTAAATTATTTCACATTTCAGTGCCTCATTTCACCACTAGTAAAATATAAACAATATGTTTGCATTTGTTTTTTACCATGTAAGATGAGATACTAAAGGAAACACTTTTTTTCCCACAATTACCACATGTTAAATGCTCAATAGAGAGAGGTTTTGTTACTGTTATCACAACAATGAATACATTCACAATAGTCTGGGATCCTAAAAAAGGCCATACTTTTACTAGGTAGCAGAGACAAATTTTAAATTCAGATCTGTCTGGATGTGTTTTGGTATACTGCGTGGCCTCTCCAAACACATAATGTAGTTCTAATTTCAAAAGTCCAAAAGGTTAAGTACATAAACTATCATATCCATGTGGACAAATGAAAGAGAAGCTGAAGTATCAGCCCATCCTGATCCTCTTCCTAGTAACACAGCCATTCCTGTGATTTTTTTCCTGCCTCAATGAATTCAGAACAGACCCTGAGCATGACAGGAATCTTGGATGTTCAGCCCCAAAACGGGCTTCCAGATAACATTCATTTGTGACAAACCATTTCTTCTGGGTCATAGGGCCTTCTGCTTTAGACTATAAGACAGTAACTGCTCTGGATTTATCCTCACAATTAAACAAATACAAATAGGAAAAACACCTATATAGTAACAGTTTTTCATCATTGCACAAGAGGCAATCCAGGAGTATGACACTTTACTAAAGGTAAAGTACCATTCCCTGGTACTAGCCACCAAAGTGGCAATGACCCCTCCCTTGCTTTATAATGTTCAATGGCTCCCTGCTATTTTCAGGATAAAGCCTAACAAATACTTAGCTTGAGTATGGGAAAAGACTTCCTGTGATTAACTTCTGGGCCTCTGGATCCCCTTTCTTTCCATTCCCTATGTAACTAAATGTTTGCTATTCCCCATGCCGCACCCTATGTAGTTTTTCCATGGACTTCTGCTTGGTAATCCTCTGCCTAAATCCTCTATGACACTGATGAAAACTGTAGTCAATAGGTCCTATGTGGCCTGCCTACCTGCCAGCATTTCAAATGTGCCCAGATGATAACATGTGAGCAGGTGAAAAATGTGCTAAGCCTCTTAATAAAATTTTTTCCTATCAATAAAGTGGATATTCTGGTTATAATATATTATGTTTTTCACAGGGATTAATAAATGTATTGTCGTTTTGAATAAAAAAAAAGAAGATGGAGAATAAATACCCACAGACAAAAGTAAAACCAGGAGATTATCACTTCATTGATATGGGAATTGAGCGTATGCTAACAGAAGACATTTCTAAGAGTATTAAGTGCTATCATGAAGTTAAGCATGATAAGGCCTGGAAAGCATTCATTTGATTTAATATTAAATAATATGCAAGTCATCTATGGCCTTCAAAACAGTATCACTGGGATGAAAGATTTTCCAATGGGTTGAGGAATAAAACATGCACTAGGAAATATATACATGTGTAAAACCTAATTCGTTAGGAGTTTGAATTTTAGGATATGGATGCTAGCAAGAGGGATCAGAATTTAGGAATCGGTCTTTTTAGAATGTAGAAGAATCAAGGAAAGGCAAGACAAGGTGGCTAAAGAGAATCCTTCATTCTTTATCTCCCCACATAAACATTAATTTGAATAATTATCTGTACATAAAAGTACCTCCACAAGACCTAAGTGAGGGCTGCATGGCAGAACAGAATGACATTGCCTGCTTCATACCCTCCCCAACTCTGAACATACACAGCACAGAGATAGACAAAGCCCACTTGTGCAAGAAACAGGGAAGTCTTTAGGACTTTCATGTGACCCACCACAATGAAAACAATATCAGGCAGATGCATGTGGCCCCTGATCCCAAGCCAGGGCTTGCAAATGGAGAATCTGAACTTGCCCCAGCACCAAGTAGAAATCTGTGGCCCCACCAGAATAGTCTTCTGCTCTGGCCTGCATACTCCTGGCCATTACAGTAGTCTCAGACCAATCTCAGCAGCTAGGCAGCTAGGCCACAGCATCATGAGATGGGCACATCTTTGGCCACACTGATCCCTGCAGTCACGGGCTTCAGGTATGACCGAGCTGAACATCAGCCTTGGTGCCAAAAGACTGCCCATCTATGGCCAGAGCAACACAGAGAGTGACTCCACCCACTGGGAGGAAGGAGAGGGAGGTAAGTGCACAACTATGCCTTAAAATTCAGTGCTAAGACTTCCATGGTGAAACCCAGCACCAGGAAGAACCAAATGAGGATCTGCCAGAGTCACTGGACGTGGATTAACACCAGAGTCACTGTGGCCCTAGTGGGATTGTATTATGCTCTGATCTGCATCACTGCTGGCTGTCTCCCACAGCCTTGAAATTCAGCGGCAGGCAGTCGACAGTAAAGTGAGCATTAGATGTACCCCTCTGTGGTGCTGGTCTTAGCAGCTTTGGACTTCTGGTGTAACCCAGTCTGATGGTGGCTGTTATGGCAATGGGACTGCCTTCTCTAACCCTACCTTCACGCAGCACAGCACGGACAGAACCAGTCTGTGCTTGTGGGAAGGAGAGGGAAGGAGACACAAGAATTGACCTGGAAGCAGGCCTGGCACACTGAGGCCTGATTTCAGGAAACACTCCATAGCACTAACCTAGCATAGCAATAACCTATTGCTAGTAATTATGAATCTATGCATCTAGAACCTTCCCAGCCCCAGGCAGGAATTAGGGTGTCCTCTAGTGCTGAAAAAGTGGCAACACACTAACTGCAAACTCATGGGGAACCTGGGAATAAGGCATCATCCAGGACTAAAATAGCAGCAGAAATCAGCCCACTTAGAATCTCTGTAAGATCAGAACCAGTAAAGAAAGACTGCAATGAGTAGAATAATACCTAATCTTTTAATGCACAATAGCATTGAATCTTCACAAGAGCATTCAGGGAAACATAGCCTTACCAATGGACAAACAAGGTGCCAGAGACCAAGCCTGAATTGGTGGAGACGTGTGGTCTCTCATATAAAGAAATAAAAGTAGCTACTTTAAGGAAACCCAATAAAATTCAGGAAATACAGATAATTTTTTAATTTATCAGATAAACATTATAGATAGATTGAAATAACTTTTAAAAATCAAACAGAAATCCTGGAGTTGAAAAACACAATGCACCAAAAGAAAAATGCAATAGATACCATCAACAGTGGAATTGATAAAACAGAATGAAGTATTTGACCTGAATACAGGCTACTTGAAAATAAGTAGTCAGAGGATTTCTCTGAAAAAGAAAGATTGAGTATTTGTGGGATAGCATTAAAAGAGCAATATTTACCTTATTGCAGTTCAAAGATTTGAGAATGGAAAATTAATAGAAAACTTATTCAGAGATAATATCAGAAAATGTTTCAAAGCTATACAAAACATCCACTTATAGGAAGGTCAAAGATCACCAACCAGATTCACCCCAAATAAGTCTACCCCAAGAGAATCAAGCACTCAAAGTTCAAAGACAAAGAAAAAATTGTGAAAGAAACCAGACAAAGGAAATAAGGAACACATAGGGAGTTCCAATTCACATACCTGGCAGAGGCTTGTCAGCAAAAACTTGAAAAAGAGGAGTGAGATGCTACTTTCAAAGTACCAAAGAAAAAAAGGGTACCAAGGAATACTATTCCCAGCAAAGCAATCCTTAAAAAAAAAAAAAAAAAAAAAAAA